TTAGCAAACAATATTGGATGTTGAGACGATATCCCATCGCAAAAAACAGCACTCTTACTAACCTCTGATATATTTTCATTTACCAACTCCAGCAAATTTGATCCTACTTTTGAAATTTGATTACCTGACTCTATTTGTTAGTAAATTGGTCCTGTTTTTCTTCTGTTTAGAAAAGCAAAGAAAAAGTCATACCTCACCCTAAAAAAAATATAGTTTGTTTCATACCCCACCCTTATCATTATGGGAATGTCCATACCCCATCCAAATGTCTCTGCCCCCTGGTAGCAAATACTATATGACCATTCCCTTAAAGGCATTAGATAATTGTATTTTGTTTTATATAAAATAAACGGAAAACTTTGAGTCTTGCACCCTTCTGACAAAAATAACTATAATTTTGTTTTATTGATATTTGTCTCTGCCTACCTGTTTGTTCGGATATTTTCCTGGGATTTACTGTCGGAACTCGGAAAGGGGGCCACCGTAAGAATCTGCTACGAATATTTGCGATTGCGCACGCATGTTTCGCGTTTAATGTGTATGTCCATATGGTTACGTGATTTGTTGACTGTTCAGGAACGATTTTCATTAGGTTTCATATATTTCTGGAAAATATAGGCAAGTATGACGTTCCTATTTCTTTCCTCTGATATTAATCAAGGCGATGAACGTTTTAGTGTTGAATCTAGAGGTAAGCAATGTGCTTTCATGAGCTTATCGGCAGTTTTAACAACCCAGAATATTCCAATGATAGATTGGTCGAAAACAACTTTAAATAATGTCTTAATGCAAGGAGACAAAATTTACTTAAAAGCTATAAGTAGTGGATTAATTGTGTTAGACCTAAGTGGTTCATGTACGAACATGTTTTCTTATGAAATTGAACTACCCGTGGTGGTAGACCCTATTGATATAAACACTGAACCACCTGTGGTGGCAAAGCCCCACGAGGTACACAATACTAAACTACCCGTGGTAGCGAAGCCCCATGAGGTGCACAATACTGAACTACCCATGGTGGCAAAGCCCTATGAGGGACAAAATACTTAATTACCTGTGGTGGCAAAGCCCCAGAGGGACAAAATACTGAATTACCCATGGTGGCAAAGCCCCATGAGGGACAAAATACTGAATTACCCGTTGTGGCAAAGCCCCATGAGGTACACTCTATTGAACTACCTGTAGTGGTAGAAAACACCAAACCACCAATGGATGTAGAGCCCATTGTAGCACAAAACAATATTGAAAATAAGCACAAAACAATATTGAAAATACAAACCTTTTTTGGCTTATAAATTATGGATAAGAGCTGCAAGGTCTTGTCATAACTGACCAAGAAGTTGAGTCTCCCTACTGTTGTATTCATTCAGCACTTTTGAATACATTCATGAATCATAGTTGTGCTATTTTAATATTAAAAGGCTATATATGATGGCCATAATTAATCAAACAAACTCTTTTTATTTGTTTGATTCCCATGCCATAGACTTGGGTGGCATGCTTGATCCTAATGGAAATGAAATTCACTAATATTCTGGAGTTAAAACAATTTTTGTATGTACTTTCAACAAAATTGAATATAAATTTATTTGAAATTGTACCTATCCATTTAACGAAATTTAATGTTTCAGTACAAACACTTGAACATATCAAAGAATATGAATACCAGAAAAGAACATATCAAAGAATATGAATACCAGAAAAAACTATTTTCAATGGAAAATGAACATATTAACAAACAAGTGAGACTTACTAAAGCCAATAAATATAAAAAACAAAAGCATTCAGAAGAAACTGACAGTGAGAAACAAATAAGACTTGAAAAAGATAGCATATCTAAAAAACAAAAGCGGTCAGAAGAAACTGACAGTCAAAGACAAATTAGACTTCAAAAAGTAAGTGAGTCTTTAAAACGAAAGCGGTCAGAGGAAACTGATAGTGAGAGGCAAGCTAGACTTGAGAAAGACAGACTGAATAAAAAACAAAAGCGATCAGAGGAAACTGACTGTCAGAGACAAATCAGGCTTCATAAAGATAGACTGTCTAAAAGCCAAAAGCAGGCTTATAGAGTGTCACAGCCTCAACATGAAATAAATCAACAAGATTACTTAAATATGTTTGACAACACAAACTATGGTGGTATTGAAGAACAATATTGGGCTAAAGTTAACATGAACAAGTTTCATAAATCTGTGCAATATACTGTCAGTCAATGTACAATATGTCAGGAGGCATGGCCCCTGAAGTCTAAACCAAAATCAGCTTATTGTGTGTTCACGATGCTCTAGAGATAAAAAATATCCTAGAAAATTTTCAATTGAAAATTCAATGATATCTTCATCCGTCCCAGATGAATTGCAAAACTTGACTCAGGTTTAATGTATGTTTATTTATATATATTGTAATTTTATGATAATTAACTTGTGAAAGGATAAAAAGGGTCGCGGGGGAACATTAGAGGGATAGAATTCAAGATGTCTTGAAGAGCTTCCTTCTCATTTGATTGTATCATTCGTACTGGTTGAAAAACGTCGGGCTTCTTCTCGAACTTAATTATTCCTAAATGCCTTGCTGTTTGTCCTGCGAGCACCGGTTCACATTAACTATTAATGATATGCCAGTCCACAGGAACAGAGGAGTTACCAAAGCTTACAGCACATTTAGAAATTCCTACAACCGGTATCGTTGCACTGTTATATGGTTTGATTTTTGTGTTTACCATCCTGTGTACAAGATTCCATCGTTCTGCCTCTTTAATTCCACATACACTAATGTTTGCTCCAGTGTCTGCCAGAACAGTAGCAAGACTGTTATTAATAACCAATTGGACTTTAAAGTCATCCTTAGCTTGTTTGCTTTTTTCTGTAATTCTAAAAAGGTTGATATTATACACTTCATCTTGCTGAACTTTTTCTGGTTCTTCAGATTTCACTTCATTTACTGTTTTCTTTTTTCTACATACTAATTCGTAATGCCCAACAGCATTACAGAAATTACATTTGCTTGTCTTAGCCCTACAATTCTTGAGATGCTCAATTACAGACCCTTTTATTTCTTGACCACAGTAATAACATGCTCGTGGTTTTCCTGTAACTGTACGCGGCTTCTTGTTCATGTTCTTATAGGAGTACTTGCCCATCTTCACCATATTCTCACCACTAAGCTCTTCAACACCTTTCGCCGCACTTTCAATATGCATGCCTTCTCTGCGCAGCTCTTCTAGGCCCCATGCATTCTTAAGTGCTTCTTCTCTTATTTTGTCGTTAATTGTTCCAATAATGATTTGGTCTCTGATAGCTGTACTTTCTGCCGTACAGTCCTCGTGCTCACATTTAAAGTTACAATGTTTTGCTTCCTTGCATACACGATTGCAGAAAGCTGGGAACGTTTCATTTGTCGCTTGTGTCAGTGTACGAAATTGATGATTTTTCAGCGTAAGATTTTCCGTTGGTTTGTAATACTTCTGAATTTTATCGACGAACTCTCTCCATGTTGTTTTCTTTCGGTTTTGTTCATTTGGTTCTGCGACTTTCCACATTCTTTTTGAGGAAAACATACCAAGTAATTTTGCGACTTTATCTTTCGATCGCCATTCCTCTTTTATCACATCGTATTGTTCGAGATCGAATTTCGTATCTGGATTTGTAAATTTCCAGCGTTCAATAGCTGAATCGAGGGAGACTTTTGGTGGGTCAGGATACTCAGCCTCATATCGTAACTCATATGATTGAATAAACTCATTGAAAGCTTTTAAAGTATCATCCGGATGACTATCAGGGTCAAAATAAAGCGTTGCTGAACGTCCATTATCAGTGGCCATTATGAAGCAAGCAAGTATGAACAAACTTTATACGATTATTTTTGTTCTTTGACCTTAGTTGTTCGAACAATTTTCATAGGCAAATAATATCTTCTTATGAGAAAAGAATCCTCGTCGCCAAATGTATTTTATGTTGTATTTCTTTCTTCTTATACTTCCAAAAAAGTCTAGCTACTTGAGATTTACATTTTAAAGATTGCCATGAAACGTTTATGAGACCTTTGGGCAAGGCGATGAAAATCGGGTATCAGAATGGAGTCCCAGAAAAAGAAACACTAAGAAGAGCATTGAATAATTATAGACAAACACCCCATCCAGCAACTGGTCTTCCTCCGGCGGCCATGCTCTTCAGAGACGGGCAACGTTCAGATTTTCCAAGAAGATATGTGACAGAGGAAGATGTTAGGAAAGCACGAGAAGAAGATAGGAATAGAAAATCTGATCTTGAAGAAGATGTCAACGGCTCCAAATATAGGAAGAAATCCAACTTTAATATTGGCAAAGAAGTTCTGGTTAGAAATTACAACAAAGCGGCAAAATTTGATCCTGTTTTCCTCAAACAACCATATACGATCGTTGACATAAATGAAACAGGAAACAAGATTATCGTAGAGCAAGAGGAAAGCGGGTTAACGCTGTGCCGTCACCCAGACGATATTAAGCCGTTTAAATTATGTAAGCAGAATGATCAGGAAGCGCTGTCGAGAATTTGCCTCCAAATGTGATCCTCAACAAGTCACATTACTCACATAGGTTTCAATGTATATTTATATTTTAACGAAATAAGTATTCCAAATGTCGATTACAATTTCCAACGAACCTCACCACTCACACCGTCAGATAGCACACAGGCTATAGATTACTCTCTCTCTCGCTCACAGTTCCTCACTCACTGAATGTCTCAGTTCAACTAACTCTCTCGCTCTCGTGACCACACCACATACACCTTCATTCTATCAATCAGTGTTACAAAACTGGAATATAATTAAGTAAAGGAAACATTTGTTTATATCATCTTATCTGTCAATTCCCGACACACTCCCCCATATAGCTCAGAAATGAGGTATATGTCCATGAAGGGAATGACTTCGTTTTTGTGAAGTTCATTGTTCACTTCCTATAACAAAAGATATATAAAATTTAAGATTAAGCTAGTTTATGCGTTCACTGTTGTTCACTGCTAGTCTTCTTTCACTTCTGCGTCTTGCTTCAACCGTATCCTCGCTGCTATTGCTGCGTCTTGGGTGGGGCGAGGGGTAAAGATTGGTGCTTCGGGGTTAGGGCTCCACTTCTTTCTGTCGCAGGACAACTCCAACGGGTAGATATGCTGGACTGCTCGCTCGAGGTCGCCGAGTTTCCACACGTTACGTCTTTTGTCTTCATCTTTAATCATGACAACTTTGCCGATCTTTGGGTAGGATTTCTGTCCACTGACTCGTTGTTTGTGCTGTTCGCGCAGACTGCGGACGTATTCTTTCATCCAACGATTCCACATCGCTTCTTTACACCTTCGTAAGAACCTGGCTCTTTTGCGCAATTCACTATCTCCCAGATTGTGGGCGTCGACTTCTGGTAGGACATTGGGGTTAATGCTCAGCATTGAGCATGGGGTTATTACTGGTAATTGAATGTCGTCCTCGAGGTAGGTCAACGGCTGATTGTTGAGAGCAATCTCGAAGTCCAAGACCACTTCTTCTAACTCCTCCAATGTCAGTATTCCATTGCCGATCGTTTTGTAGAACGCTTGTTTGAACAGACCAATAAGACGCTCGAATTGGCCTTCCCACCACGGTGCACGACTGAGATTGAACCTCCGTTCGATTGCGTTATCAGCCAGGAATGCATGAAATTTCTCATCCTTTCGTGTGATTGCTTCAACCACTTGTCAGCTGCCTTAAAGGTTTTGGCGATGTCAGAGTATATGATCTTTGGCCGACCACGTCTCGCGATCAATCTTTTTAAGCTTGGTATGAATTCTGCTACTTCCATTGAACGCAAGATCTCGAGATGTACTGGTTGCGTTAAACTGCACCCATATAGCACAAGGTACGCCTTTCTCTTCGCCTTTGCTTTTGTACGGTATCGTATTGGTCCCCGCGAAATCCACCCCAACTACTTGAAACGGTGTTGACCCTTGCGTCCTTGTTGTTGGCAACTTACCAGGTGGTGGCTTCTCATACGCTCGAGCTCGAAATCTTACGCACCTGTGGCAAGCCTTTCGCACCTGTTTCACCAACCGTCTCAACTTTGGTATCCAAAACCGTTCACGTACTTTCGCCATGGTCATAGCGACCCCACCATGGAGTGTTGCCAGATGCGCTCGTTCGATTACCTTTTTCGTGAAGGTGGAATTACGGGGTAGGTACATGGGGTAATCTTCGTCAATCCGACCGCGACATTTGAGAATTCCGCTTTCATTAAGCTGTATGTTCAATTGTTGCCGTATATCCTTGAACTCTGGACCCTCCTTGACTTCACTTTGCGCTCTTCTTATCCACCACAACTCGCTATCTTCTATCTCTTCTGACACTAGCGGTCCCATTTTCCGGTTTTTACGGGTCACCATACAATTCTTCACGAACCGATTGATCCAGGCGCAAATTCTAAGCACTTTTCGCAGGGAAAACTTGATGAGCAGTCCTTCAAGGCTATCGGGGCTTATTGGTCGTCTCACCGTTGTCAAGGCTTGTGGATTCTTCGTCGGTTTTATCTCGTCTTTCACCTCTCGCGTAGCTTCGAGCACTTGTTTTGGCAGCCATTTGGTAGGATCTTTTAACCATTGGGGCCCATTACTCCACAGTTCGTTTCCAACGACACTTCCACCACGACTACCCACGTCTGCGGGATTCTGTTTCGTCGGTACATGATGCCATTCCACTCGTGTATGTGCTTGAATCTTGGCCACTCGGTTTGCAACGAACTGGCGATATTCGCCTTGACCGTTAATGCAGTAGAGCGCTACTGTGGAATCTAACCAACAATGGACAGACAATACGGCTCGCTGATCTATTGCACTTTCTACGTTCGACACCAAATTAACTGCCATATGTCCAGCGACGAGGTATGGAGAGATCACGCTTCGCCACTCGTGACTTGGCGCATGCCAGGCCTTGTGTGGTTCCATGTTCCTGCTCCACAACCGCGTAGACCACGGCCGACACTCCGACCTTACTCGCATCGCCAAAGGCATGTAGTGTGATGGCTGACACTGGCTCTTGATGCGGAGCTAAGGAACGCGGAACTTCGTAGCTTCGAGGCAGTCCTTTGCACCACTCCTCCCAGCGTTGTTTCGTTGTCTCAGGCAGTTCACCGTCCCAGGGAAGACGAGCCTCGCACATGTCTCGAAAAAGGTTCTTTCCCTGCAACGTCATTGGCGATACCAATCCGAGTGGGTCGTATACTCTCGCAAGTTGGGATAACGCACTTCTTTTGGTCGTCCCATGTTCCCCACAACTGAGCGTAACACCTACTCGGTCTGTCGACTTGTCCCATGGGAGGCCCAGAAGTTTGGTCTGCGGTTTCTCATCACCGAGCTCTTGCTTTGCGAACGTGACTTCGTCGTCATTCGTTGATGGGCTCTCAAGTTCTTTCACATTCGAGTGCCATTTGTGCAATCTGAATTTGGCGTCTTCGAAGATTTCACTGGCTGTCTTTTTCTTTTATCGTAGAGATCGTTGCTCCCCCCGTCATAAGATCGTCAACGTAGAGGTTCTTGCGTATTTCCTCGACTAGGGGTCAGGGTATTTCGGTTCCCACGACTTCAAATGCACGCTCAACACACCGTTTAGTAGGAAGGGAGAACTCGTCAGGCCAAACAGCGCTCTCGTGAACCGGTATGCGATTATGTCGTCACTTCCCGGCGGTTTCCAATGAAACCTAAGTGCATCACGCTCGGCTTCTTTCATCCTGACCTGTAGGAATGCTTTCTGGAGATCACCGGTGAGCAGGATGGGAAGGAATCGAGATCGAACAAGAATCGACCAGAGAAGATTTTGCAAGCAGGGACCCGGGTTCAGGCAATCATTCAGAGACGGCGACGTCTTGGACTCTCTTGCCGATGCGTCATACACGATCCGAAGCTTAGTCGTCTCTGCTGTGTTCTTGACAACCGCTTTGTGGGGAATGTAGAACTCCCTATCACTCGCTACTGATGGAGCTAGCTCGACCACTCCGTTCTCCAACTGCTGTACAATGACGTGTTGTTCGTCGTACCGTCACTGGATTTAGTCGCTTTACTAAATTCTCCAATCGTCGTTTACTCCCCATTTCATTGGCAGGCAGAGGGGGGTGATTTGGTTTCCACGGGAGCCCCGTTTCATACCATCCCTCAGAACTTCGCTCGAGTTGTTCCTGGAATTCTTGGTACACAGGAAGCTGATCGTTTTCTGCACTGTCTGCGATACCAAGTACGTCCAGACGGCATAGCTTGTCGAAGTCTACTTGTGAGGTCTGCGTCATGAGCATCTTCGTTTTCTCGAACTCGGTCCCAGGACTTAGAATCATCCATCCAAGCTTAGTTCTCTCTGCCACTGGATCTCCTTCTCTCCCGATGAGAGGCTTCGTAGCTGTCTTTATTCGGGCATAGTCGCCGCTTCCGAGGATGACGTGGATGGGTAATTGGGTTTTCGTGGAGTGATCATCCATATGTACCTCGCTAAGGTGTTGCCTTATCAACTTTTCGTACTCGGGGTTTTCGATGAACAGAAGCTCGCTCTTATCAACCTTGCTTAATCGCGTCACCATTTCGTATCTTCCGTCGAGGGAAGTTATTTTTACGTCATATAACTCAACTTTTGCCTTGCGTGATGTCAAGAGCATATCAGTTTGTTGGTTTTTAATTTCACTCGGCTTGATGACAAGTGTGTTAATTAGCTGAGCTGAGGCGTAAGAGCTCCCGGCGCCAGAGTCTATTAACGCACGGCAAATTAATCCATTTACTTTAATCACGACTACAGGAAATATGCCCTCACCACTGCCACCATCCGTCATCAACTTCTTATCTCCGGAAGCGTGCTGCTCAGTTTGATCGCAAATGGAAGTGTGATGACGTTTGTTACAATGTCCGCAGGCAGATTTACTGGTGCAATCAGCAGCGCGATGGGGTTTCATGGCGCAATTAAAACAAAGCCCCTTTTTTGATAGGATTTTCTTTCGTTCGTTTACTTCACTAATTTTCTCGCATTGTACGGCTTTATGGTTTAAATCGCTGCAGTAAACACATCCCTTGGGCATGGGCACGAAACGCTGGTTTTCCTTTCGAGATTGGAACATTTTCCTCGAGCTGCTTTCCTCGCGTTCCCCGCTAGAGTTAGTTACGGGGTTTCTCCTCACCCACTCGTTTACGGCATGCGTTAACTTTACGAAATCCCAGGATTCCCACTCAGGGTCATCACGCATCAAATCCCCTCGAATTCCCGATATCTTATCTAGAGTCATTGGTCCGTACCCGTTTATATCGCTAAGTTTCCCCATAGTCTCAAGTGCTTGAACAGAGTGTGTAAGTCTATCACAAAAGTTAGCAATCTTACGAGGGTTGGTTCCCGAAATATTTGGTAAATCCAAAACCTCATTCACGTAACATTTCTCGATTTCCGACTCCTTGCCGAATTTCTCTTTCAAAATAGCTTTTGCTCTATTATAACCCTCGAGCCCAAAGGGAAGAGACTCGACACTACGCTTCACCTTCGGTTCTAGCAGCTCTAGCAGATACGTGAATTTCGTCATTGGTGCTAGTGAACTTTTGTCAACCGCCTCAGAAAATTGTCCCCAAAATTTCGGCCAGTCAGTAAGGAGCCGCCAACCTTGGAGATGACGAGTTTGGGTAATTTTGCCGCCCCAGTCGAAACTACTTTGGGTTCTTTACCTTCCGTTTGAGGTTTGGGGGCCGAAGACAATTCAGCTTGCATTTTCATTCACGCTTCGTGCAACAACTGTTCCTGTTTTAACTCTTCCGCGTGCGTTAGATCTCTTTTGGCCTTTTCGGCTTCAGAAAGGAATTGTTCTAGATTTTGGATGGCCGTGTCTACAGCGTCAAATTTCAGATCTAACTCATCGTTCCATTCCTTAATTTTTCGAGATCTTCCTTTTGTTCGATTTTTAACGCTTCCGCGGAGCGTCTGCACTCATTGGCCTCGTTGGCCGTTGCTTGCAACGCGTCGAGGTGTCGCTTAATTGCTACTCGCTTACCTGCTCTCAGCAGTGTCTTCGACTTCTCTGTTGCGATTTCCAACTGCGTCAACTTGTTCACGAGATTGGTTTGTTCTTTTCCGTCCATGTTAACTCCAAAGTTCAAGCATTCATATATGTTTGCTCAAAAGTTCAATGTATCCCGTCGGTTTGGTGCCACTATGTCGAGAATTTGCCTCCAAATGTGATCCTCAACAAGTCACATTACTCACATAGGTTTCAATGTATATTTATATTTTAACGAAATAAGTATTCCAAATGTCGATTACAATTTCCAACGAACCTCACCACTCACGCCGTCAGATAGCACACGGGCTATAAATTACTCTCTCTCGCTCACAGTTCCTCACTCACTGAATGTCTCAGTTCAACTAACTCTCTCGCTCTCGTGACCACACCACATACACCTTCATTCTATCAATCAGTGTTACAAAACTGGAGTATAATTAAGTAAAGGAAACATTTGTCTATATCATCTTATCTGTCAATTCCCGACAGCGCCAGAAGAAATTATGTGGCCAGAGATGGATGAGGAAGTTGATGGAAATAGCTATTTCGAAAAGAACGAACTTGTACCTCCATTAAGACTTAGTCAACGAATAAGAAAACCAAATCCAAAATACAAATAGAGAAAATATTAATATTATTAAATGGACTTTTAAATATTTTAAAAATCTAGCAAAAAATAGGGGATAATGTATGTTTATTTATATATATTGTAATTTTATGATAATTAACTTGTGAAAGGATAAAAAGGGTCGCGGGGGAACATTAGAGGGATAGAATTCAAGATGGCGATCTTTAAAATGTAAATCTCAAGTAGCTAGACTTTTTTGGAAGTATAAGAAGAAAGAAATACAACATAAAATACATTTAGGTTGAGGAAATGTTAATTGCTCGTGCTTTGCCAATCATGAGGGTATATATTAAACCTGGTGGTCAACGAGGTTATTCAGGGCATTGTATTAACTTGCCACAAAATGTCACAGAACTTGCAAAATCTTTGCCAAGATATCCTAAGGATTTGGCAGTAATTATTGTCAAAGTTAAAGGCAAGGACAACACATTTAAAGATGTCACAGTAAGAAAAGAAAAAGTGCACAATGCTTTAGTTTGGCTGAAGAATAATAATCCACATTATTCTGAATTAATAATTAATGATCATGCATTGAATTCATTGCCTGAAAATGGTGAACCACCAGAACTTATGACTGTTGAGACTAATGATATTGTCTCTGATTGTTCTCCTGATATGGGTCCCCCAACTGATAATCCTTCTGAGGATATTGTTTACAATGACTCAACACAGATGAGTAGTTTTTTACCTGTTGGTGAACAGTAACAACAGGAAATTGAAGCAGTTAGAAATCAGCTTTGTGAAAATGAGCCAATGGCATGGCCTACAGCTGAAAATGAACCTATTAATGAATATCAGGTATCACATTTGGCCACAATGGCTTTCCCAATGTTATTTCCTGATGGAAAAGGTGATCCTACTAATCAAGAACTTCTGAGAGATGTTCCTCTTCAGGAGCGAATAAAGCATCTTCTAAAGTTTGCTGAAGTTATTGATGGCCAATGGCTATACAGTTTTGCAAACCATCCTAGGTTTTCATATTGGGCTTTCAATATGATTCAAAGAAAACGAATTTTACAGCAAAGTGGAATATTCCTGAAACAAAATCCAGGTGAAGCACATCTCACTATTGAGGAACTGCGAGAAATGGCTGCCAGTAACAGTGCCAATGTTTTCATGTCTAAGGTTTCTAGATACGTTGGGAATATTGCAGGTACAAATGCTTACTGGAACAGAGTTCGAGAGGAACTTAAAGCCATCATTACTAATGTTGGAGCACCAACATTGTTTTTCACTTTTTCTTCAGCATATATGCATTGGCCTGAGTTGCATGCATTACTTAATGCTAATGGAGATTGTGAAGATTCTAATATTCATAGTGAATTAAGGTGACAAAATGTCATTAACAATCCCTATCTTGTGGATTGGTTTTTCACACAGAGACTACAAAGCTTTGTTAAACACTGGCTTTATGAAACGCTTGGTGCAAAGTGGCACTGGTTCAGATATGAGTATCAAGGCAGAGGTAGTATCCATTGTCATGTAACTGCTAAATTAAATAATGACCCAGGTTTGTGTCAATTAACACAGACTGCTGCTTTGAAAGGTTTCTTAGCACAGAAGTTTAAAGATGAAAATGACTGTTCTGATACAACAGAACTAGACCAGGATATTGAAGCTGGTCAGAAAGCTGCTGAGACAGTATGTCAGTATGTTGATTGGTTGTTATCAACCAATAGTCCAAATCCACCAGATGAGGAAATGTGGATAAGACCTGAGGTTCATCCATGTCAACGACCTCATGAAGACATCCATGAGCATGAAAAACAATCAGATTATGTAGATCTTTTAAATATGGTTCAACGACACACTCGTTGTAGTACAAGTTATTGTCTTAGAAAAAAGTCAAATGTACGATGGCCGAGAAGGGCCAGTGTCTAAACTGCGACGTTTTTTGCTCAAATTACACGCGACGTTTTTGTTTAAAGTAACATGCGGCGTCCTCCGAAGAAAATTACACGCGATGTTTTTTGTTCGAAATGACACGCGATGATTTTTGTTTAGAATAACACGCGACGTTTTTTGTTCGAAATTATACGCGATGGTTTTTGTTTCGAATAACACGCGACATTTTTTCGAAACAGCACGCGGGGCTTTTAATTGTTTACTCGTAAATGAAAATAATTACTATGGAATAACATTACACCGGGCACCGGCGCGGTTCTGTGTATTCTCAGCAAACATGTCAGCAGAAAAGGTACTGTTATAATGTTTGATAAATAATCATTTAATTTTCTATATTTAAATTCTTTTGAATCAAAGCAATCCACATTATGATTATATTAAAGCTTCATTTGACAAATGTTTATAAAATATATGAAATCTATGTAATGATTCTCTCGGACTTTTTGTATAATTGATATAGTTTCAAATTTATGGTCAGCAATCAGCATTTATTATTTTCTTTCCAGTTTACGAAGAACCCAAATTTAACTAAAGATCAGTCAGATAGTATTTTAGTTTAAATTTATGCCTATTTGTGTCAAGTTAACCGTAGTAGAGTAACACTAGAGTTGCTAATGCATGTGTTTACATGCAAAAATTAGATCTGTCCCTAAAATAAACGTCGAGTTACTAGTATATTTGTATCGTATTGAATAAAACATGTTTTTCAGTGGAAAGAACAAAGTACATTCAAGGCCTGGTAAACAAAATACGGTCGAAAGAAGGAAATTCTGCGGCCACACCAAATTCTGCGGTTAATCCAAAGGTAGCTATTTTTAAGCAGTTTATAATGCCAACGCAGCAACGCGGTATAATGTCTATGCCTTTGGGCATTGTGTTATAACTAAATCAAGAATTTTTGCATTTCAACTATATAGACCACATTTTTAAACTGAAAACCTATACTTTGCCTTTATATGTGAACAAACAAAACTTGACGAAAATTTTACTCAAATGCTTTTTAAGGCAACAAGGAGGAATTTCGTTTGGAACAAACCTGCATGTTTGTTTACATTTTTCAGGTATTTAATACCGGAAGTAAGTAGTCAAGATTTATGCATTCTGATTGGCTTACCGAAAATGTAAACAAATATGCTAATTAGTCTAAAACGAAATTCCCCCTTGTTTTTTAAGACCATTTTACACTGTGCGATTTGTTGTATACGATTCTTACCCTGGCGTATGTGAACTTGTAAACAAACATACAAACGTGACATTACAAATTCCGCCATGAATGAAATGTGAAAGGTTGTGGCCACTTTTTTGCATTTGTCATGCAGAATGATAATCGCATACAACTCATCGTATAGTCTAAATATGCCTATATATTCCTTATGCTGTTGTAAATCAGGCCTTAGAAAGCAGTTTAGGCCCGCGGGGGAAGTGTTTCAGATCAGTGGTTTTAGAAAAAGGCATAGAATGGCTGATATTCGTAATTAAAGTGAACACGGTTTTGAAGGTTCATAGGAGGACGTTTTAATTTTCAATTCGGCGGGAAAGAGGACAGCTGGCCCCTATGCCCCCGTCGCTGCGGCGCGTCACTATTTCTAGTATTCTTAATTTAAAATACTTGCAGTATTTGTTGTGTATATTACAAGGGCGTAAATTCGGAGGGACTAGTTTTCTAATTTTAAGCGATCCTATATTTTCGGATGTTAATTTAGAAACCCAAGATGGAAAAGTTGCAAAAAAAAGGAAGTTGCAAAAAGAATTACGTTGTCGTCAGTTGGTTGCATAGAACTGATATAAACTCCAAATACAAGCGTGTCCAACTACAGCATGGTGGAGGAACGAGAAGAATTGAATACTTGCCAAATGAGGCAAGTGCAACTGGCTTGCTGAAGAAAGCTGAAGGACTTTTTTTCCTGGAGGAAAGTCGCAGAAGGGACATTTGTCCAACATGAAGTCAGAATTGGGAAATTTTCAACAAGAGGTTATTACGTCTTTCAGAGATTGTGACGAAAATGCTGTTACATTACCTGAATATTTAAAATCCTACGGGTTATACTCTGGCCGTACTTATCTGTTTTTGATGACAACTGAAAAAAAATCTGATGAAGATAGCTTGGGAGATTTAGAGAAAATTAGTTCAGCATCGTCAAGTTCGTCTCTTTCAAGAAATCAGATGTTGTTGCCTTCCTCTGCGGAGGTAATGTTCGGAGAAAGTGGATCATCCGTTGGATCAATAATGACCTCAATGTCAGCCTCTTCGAATACATGTACACCTAACCCCGAACAACAGGTGTTAATACCTTCTTTGGTAGAAACAGACGAGTCTTGGACGTGTACAAATGAATGGATTAGCAGCAATGGTATATTTGTACAGTACGAGTATACTTTCCATTCTTTGTACTCTGAGCAAGAAGTAAGTATTTCTTCTTTTCGCCGGGAAAATTGTTACGAAGTCGCAACTACAAATGATCCTAACTTACTTGAGACTCCTTTCAACCAGTTTCAGCCTCCAGAGTCAAATTTCACTATTACTAGCATCGCAAAGGGTGAAAAGC